CTGATTGGTTCAGATTTTGAGATTTGAATAAGCGGAATGCTTTGCTTGATAAATGGAAAAGATCTGGTATTACGTTTCTATTTATTCATATATTTGTTATATATATGAAATGATATTTTCCCTAAAGGTTTTGGTGATTTTTCACCCTGCAATAACATAAATAGGGTATCTCACTAGACCTTTCGGTCAAACCCTCGTTTTGTGATTTAAATTATATGTTGCAGGAGGTTCAGACAGTAAGGGGAAGAGAAAAGTTTAATATATTCCTTTATGCGCTTCTGCTTGAAGATCTGCTTTGATTGATTAGTACAAAAAATGTATTTTGAATTTTTGGACCTTGTATCTGGTCATGTTAGATTCTTGTACTAAAGGACCTGAATGAAATGATATCATGTATTTCTTTTGTATGAAATATGTGTTACATGCGATATGTGGGTTGGGGCGTTTCAGAATGGTATCAGAGCCTGAGTTTAAGGGATTTAGGTATTTAACAGCATGATGCCTAGATTTAACTGTTTTATTGCATGTTAAGGGTCCCGAACATTGTTAGCACCATTGGAAATAAATATGATGAGTTAAAAGAACAATGTGTAAGGTAAATTTTAATTACATCTGGCCAGTGTAATTATGAATTTACAGGTACACATCTGATCTTGAATACTTCATTATATTTGGGAATGTGAATACGTGATGATTAACACTAAACTCTGCATATGTCTAGCCGAACTAGAAGATCTGAAAGAACGGCTCATCCAGAGTCTGAAGAAAGGGAACAGTCACCTGTTAATTTTCCAACTAGCATGTCCAGAAATAGAGGTCGGGGAAGACCAAAGGGACGAGGCAGAGGAAGAAGTCAGTCTCAGAGAAGGGTTCGGACTGAAATACAATCTGAACAAGAAGAATCCCACTCTGGGAATGTTCAAGAAAGGTCGGTGCCACACCCAGAATATATAACCAGAGATATGTTGGCAGAAGAAATGGGGAAATTACGGGAAACTCTGACATCTATTATGGGAATACCGACTAGAATAGAAACAGAAAGAGTAGAAGTTTATCCCTCTGCTCTAATCACTCACAACAAAGAAGGAAATATTAAAATGTTTTTAGCATGCAAACCACCAACCTTTTCTGGGGAGAGAGATCTAGTGAAAGTTATGTGCTGGATTAAGGAGATGGAATCTGTGTTCAACACCATTCGGTGTCCGAAAACAGATAAAGTTCGATTTGCTGTTTCTATATTAAAATCAAATG